GTGTGAGAGAGAGAGAGAGAGTGAGAGAGTGTGTGTGTGTGTGTTTGTCGTTTCATAATCAGCAATGTCAAATAGCACGACATACTGTACTGTCATGTTTGATTGCTGTTTTAAACGTATTATGATTTGCAATTACGATTTATATCAAGAAGACAGTATGCGAATATGCATATATTTATATGTATATACTTCTATATTTACATAGTACAAAGGCATTTATGACTTCACTTCCTGTTTCTGCCCCTTCAGGAAGAGGAGAAGCAGAGGCTAAAGGAGGACCTCGAGGACGCCAAAGAAGAAGCCCGCCGACGGTCGCTAGGCAACATCAAGTTCACTTGCGAGCTGTTCAAGCTGAAGATGCTGACGGAGCCCATCATGCACGACTGCATCGTCAAACTGCTGAAGAACCGCGATGACGAGAAGAATCTGGAGTGTCTCTGCTGCCTGCTGTCCACCAGCTGGAAACATCTGGACTTCGAGAAGGCCAAGGTGACACACGCTCATTACATAACTTAAAAAAAATACATTTAACATTGAATATAAAATTTTAAAAAATGTAAATAAAAACAACAGAAACATACAACAAAATTACAAAAGTAAATGATAAAATATGTAATGATGTTAAAGATACTAAATAAAAAATGGGGGAGTGAGGCAATACAATTATTTTTATTCCGTCTTTGTGAGTAAGTGAATGAAGTGACACATGGCAAAGTACAGTGACCCATACTCAGAATGTGTGCTCTGCATTTAACCCATCCAAGTGCGCACACACAGCAGTGAACACACTAGTGATGGGAAGTCCGGCTCTTTTCAAAGATTCGGCTCTTCATTTAGTATCACTCGGAGCCTTCTATTTTAGCCCAATTTAGCAATTGTGAATGGTCTGTGTGTTGGTAAGCAATTTTTTATTCAGTGTTTTTATAATAGCATTATTTTTATGCATTTTTTTCATTACAAAAAAATACAGTTACTATTATTTAACATTTTAATAAAACTTTAATTGAACACAGAACCACAGCAAACTAATTAAATAAATAAAGGCAAAAGTCTTAACATTAAGACACTTTAGTCTTTAGTGCAGGTTGGCATTCAGAAATATCAGATGCCTCAGCTTGGGTGTGCTGATGCCATTTCTTCTCTCTGTGATTATTTGTCCTGTTTTTGAGAAGACTCTCTCTGAGGCGACCGATGTTGCAACAATGCAGTGTCTTCCTACCTTAACCAACGCGCTTGCGTTTAAATCCGGCTCCCCGCCTCTCTCTGTCACTCTGTGTACCTTGCCTGTACCACTACACTCGCTATCTTCTGAGCGTGTGTCCCCCTTCCTTCTTTCACATAATGGTATGATCCTAGTCTATCCTCCCATGTGATTAGCCACATGTGTTTTTTTTTAGCAACGAGAAAAATGCATAAAAACAAGGCTTTTATGAAAACACTGAATAAAAAATTGTTTACCAACACACAAACCATTCACAATTGCTAAATTGGGCTAAAATAGAAGGCTCCGGCTCTCCCCATTTGCTACAAAGAATCTGCTCTTAGAGCCTGCTTGTTTGCAAACGACATATCACTAGAGCACGCACACACACACACACACACACACACAGGTTTACATTTGTGAAAAGTGGGGACTCTCCATAGGCGTAATGGTTTTTATACTGTACAGACCGTATATTCTATTGCCCTACACCAACCCTACCCCTAAACCTACCCCTCACAGGAGACTTTCTGCATTTTCAGATTTTCAATACACTCCATTCTGTGTGATTTATAAGCGTTTTGAAAAGTGGGGACATGGGGTAATGTCCTGAAAGTCACCTTCTCCTTGTAATACCTGTGTCATTATACAAATGTATGTCCTCATTTGTCACACACACACACACACACAGAGCAGTGGGCAGCCATGTGCTGCAGCACTCGGGGAGCATTTGGGGGTTCAGTGCCTTGCTCAAAGGTCTCACCTCAGTCGTGGTATTGAGGGTGAAAGAAGGTGCTTGTCATTGTCTCCCCCCACCAACAATTCCTGCCAGACCTGAGACTCAAACCCATAACCTTTGGGTTACAAGTCCGACTCTCTAACCATAAGGCCACGACTGCCTCTCAAGGAGCAATATTAAAATATTGATTTCAATAATATATCATTTAAGACTCGTGCATATATTTTTTTGTCTTTTCAGCACCGAATGGATCAATATGTAAACCAGATGGAGAAAATTATTAAGGAGCGGAAAACCTCTTCCAGAATTCGCTTCATGCTGCAGGACGTTCTTGATTTACGACGGTTAAACCGTGAAAATAGACTCTGAGTGTGTGATCATTTACTTCCTTATTTCTCATTCCTGACATTATTGTGAACAGTTCATTAATGCACATTATTCTAAAATAAAATGTTTGGCACCTTAATCTTTTAATTAAAATTAAATAACTTAAAATTGTGGAATATAAAGATTTTTTAAATATTTTTGAATGAAGTCTCTTCTGCTCACCAAGGCTGCATTTATTTGATCAAAAATACAGTAAAATTGTGAAATATTATTCTAATTTAAAATAACTGTTTTCTTTGTGAATATCTGTTAAACTGTCATTTATTTCAGTGATCAAAGCTGTATTTTCAGCATCATTACTCCAGTCTTCAGTGTCACATGATCTTCAGAAATCATTCTAATATGCTGATTTGCTGCTCTTAATAAATACTCATGCCTTCTTTCCCTTTCATCTCCACCTGATAAAGTAAAATTGGCTGTAAAATATGGTCAAAAAACTAAACTATGGTGACCTTAATAAACTGTTGTATCAAGGTAGTGGCTCCCCTACAGAATGTTCTGTGATATTTACATCTGCTGGTAATATCTTGATATACTGTATATCATAGATCTGCATGATTACTATATTCATATACCACGATATGCACATGGTACTTTACGGTACCTAAAAAATACCATGACATTATGATCATGGTAGTGTCCAAAAAACATGATATTACCATGGTGTCATGATAATGATAAATTAATCTTAATTTTACTAATTAATGCAAGCCTTGGCTCTCTCATTAACCCATCACATGAGATGCTTTTATACTAACGCTTTAATTATCTAACCAGTAACACTCGCTTGTTCGAAGACAGCTTTGAACTTTTACCAAGTAATTTTTTTTCAGTGTCAAATTATATTTCTTTCTATAGCGTTTTATACAATACAGATCGTTTAAAGCAGCTTCGCATTAATAAACAGGAATATAACAGAGTTAATGTTGTAAAATTAATCAATAGTGAATCAAATTCAATTTCAGCTGTAAAGCAGTTTTAGAGAAGACAATAATGTCATTATCTCAGTTCATTTCATGTTCTCATCCCATAGTGTCAGTGCATTTGAATCCGCAATATTATACTAGTTTTTTTGTTTTTTTTCTTTTACAGTACGTTTTGCATGGCTGAGTTTCATTTAA